GGTGCCCCTGAGGACGTCCGCCACCTGCCTGGAGGGGGCCGAGCGCAGGCACGGCAGCGCCAGGGTGCCATGGGTGAACTGCAAGAGCCCAGTCGACGCCCTGGCCCTCTCTCTGTTGCGGGTTGGGCGGCGCCTCTCGGATGGGCACATCCTGCGCGCCGACGACGGCCACACCTTGGACATGCTGATCATGGGCCCCCGCGAGCTCGGGTTGCTGGCTGCGGCAGGTGCCCGCAGGGCCTCCGACAGAGCGGAGATGACGCGGCTTGGGCGCGGAGCCGCCCCCTCCATGCCCTTGTTTTGGGGCGCGCTCGGCCAGGTCATAGGGCCGCGCGGCAGGTTCAGCAGCAGAGAGAAGGCCGCGGTGGTGAGCTACCTGTCCAACGCCCACTGGCCGCAGACTCGCCTCTTCGCGGCCGGTGAGCGGGGCCACCCTCGCTGCTGCGCCTGCGGCGAAGTGCGTGGCAGCCTCTGGCACAGGCTCTTCGAGTGCCCAGCCCTGGCCGCTGAGAGGCGTGACTCGGTGTCAGCCCGCCTCCGTCGCTGCGCCACTCGAGTGAGGCAGCGAGGTGAGGAAGCGGGAGAATGCTTCTCCAGGTGCTGGCTGCCGCAGCCCCCGCAGACGGCCTGAAGGCCGGGCGCGATGGCAGTCATGTGGGTGAACAGGCCAGCAGACGGGCTGCTAGGCGGTCGCCTCTTCCTCGACGGCTCGGCGCTCGACCCTGAGTTCGAGTGCATCCGCAGGGCTGGCTGGAGTATCGTGCAGTGCGACGAGTTCGGCAACATGGAGGCGGCGGTGTACGGCACGGCCCGCCTCGACCTGCGCCCCTTCCAGACGGCGAAGGACGGCGAGGACTTCGCGGTCTGGATGCTGAGCCGCTACCTCGGGCCCTCGTTCATCGAGATCAACATCGATTGTGCGTCCACAGTCAGCTGCTTGAAGCTCGGCAGGAAGTATGCGACGGCTGCCACCAAGCCCAATGCACACCTGTGGTCGGCCGTCTACGCCTCGCTGGACGTCGACGCGCTCACTGTGAACAAGGTGGCGGCCCACTGCACCGAGATCGATGTTCGCGAGGGCAGGATCTCGGAGTTTCAATTGCTTGGGAACGCCCGCGCCGACAGGCTGGCGAAGGCGGGGGCGGCCCTCCACAGGGTCAGCGCGGCGGCCAGGCGGGAGTTCTTCGGCGCGATGGAGGTCGTGAGAGAGCTCTCCAGGTGGATCGCGCAGGCCTCGATCGTCTGGCATGACAGGGACTCCAAGGACTGCGAGGGCCTTCCTGAGTGCGACGAGCGGAGGACTGCTGTCACCTTCGCGGTCCCGCTGGAGGAGTGTGCTGACGGCCCGCGGGCGGCTCCCGTGCACGGGTCGGGCGCCCCGCCCGCCGCCGTGGGGGCCAGCGGGGGGCAGGCTGGCAGCCGCCCCGCCGCTGTCGGCGCCCGGGCCTCGGCGGCGCGTGACGGAGGAGTAGCGCTGGGCGCCCTGGTCTTCGCCGTCGCAGGGCGCACCCTCGCGCGCGCCAGGTGCGGTGAGGACGGCGACCAGCAGGAGATCATTGCGTGCGCCAGGTGCGGTGCGCATGCGAGGCTTGGCGGACGCCCTGGCCCGCAGCCCAAGCCCAGGGAGCGCTGCCCTGGCGCAGCGGGCTTCCCCAGGTCGCTGCGGGACCAGAAGTCGCGGTGGGGGCGCGGCCTCCACCCTGGGGGCACGCCGCACGCCCGCGACACGCGGAGGAAGGGGGCGGAGGCCCCCCGCCTTCGCAAGGAGGCCGAGGTGCCGCAGGACGCCAGGGTGCGCTTCCTGAAGTGGCTCGGAGTCCAGCCCGAGGCCCCAGCAGGCGTCGAGGGCAGCGCCTCGGCGGCCGACGCTGCTGGGGGCGGCGCTGGCGCAGCGGCCTCCTCCTCGACAGAGCTGCCCGCTGCGGCTGGTGGCGCCGCGGCGGGATCGGGATCGCGGCAGGCCTGGCTCGAAGCTTACGGCCTTGATGAAGGGGGGCCTGCTGAGCTGGGCGGAGGGGGCCGACGAGGCCCGTCGTGAGCGCCAGAGCAGGAAGCGGCGCAGAGATGACGGGGATGGAGGAGATTGAGTCCGCGCTGGCCCCAGCCTTGGGGCGCTCGGGCCGCGCGAACGAGCGCGTGCCGAGCCTCGGACGCTCCTGGCTGTGGAGCGCCAGCCTGCCTCTCCTCCTGTCCTCCCTCTTCGTCCGTCTCCTGTCTGCCCGTCCCTTCTGGACCCCTGGTGGCCGCGGGCCTCGGCGTGTTGGCGTGAAGCTTTCTGTGCCTCGCGTGCCTCGCCGTGCCGCTTGGGGCTGTGCAAGCACGTTTGGGGCGTCGCCCGTCGCGTGTCTGCGCTGTTGTATATATATATATATATAATATATTATATATATATATATATATATATATATATATATATATATATATATTCCAGCGCGCGCCGCTGATGCCCTTCGACGGGGGTTTGAGCTGACAGGCCGGGCGGTGCCTCGGGGCCGATGTGCCCTGGTGGCTGCCTTCTGCGGCTCGTCTGGGCTCTCGGGATCCCTTGTGGCCCGCCCCCTGTCTTGGGATGGCCCCTTGTGGCTTTGCCCCCTCAGTGGGGCCTGGGCCCGTTGTGGGCTTCTTTTTAGCCTTTTATAGGCCCCGCGTCAACAGACAGAGACACAGACACAGACACAGACACAGACACAGACACAGACACAGACACACACACACACACACACACACACACACGCGCACACACACAAACACACGCACAACCCACACACACACGCACACACACACACACACACACGCACGCACAGGCACAGCCACACACATATACACACACCCACACATGCACACACACACACACGAACACACACACACACACGCACGCACGCACGCACGCACGCACGCACGCACGCACGCACGCACGCACGCACACACATGCACGCACGCACGCACGCACGCACGCACGCACGCACGCACAGACACCTATAGACATACATACACACTCCTACACACAACACGCACACACAACACACACACGCACGCACTCACGCACTCACGCACGCACGCACGCACGCACGCCACACCACACCACGCCACGCCACGCCACACCACACCACAACACAACACAACACAACACAACACAACACAACACAACACAACGCAATACAACACAACACAACACAACACAACACAACATACCACAACACAACACAACATAACACACACACACACACACACGGACACACACACACACATACACAACGCACGCACGCACGCACGCACATACACACCCACCCACACACACACGTACATACACACACCACACGGTTCGTGCTCCCCCTCTTGGGCCTCTCTTGGGGCAGTCCTGGGGCTCTCTTGGGCAGTCTTGGGCGCCTGTTGGGCCGTTTTGGGGCCCTCTTGGGCCGTCTCGGGGCCCTATCGGAGCTCACTTTGGCAGTCGTTTGGTGCGGTCTTAGGGGGTCTCTGGGGCCATCTTGGAGCGTCGGGAGCCCGACAACGCGATCATGCGACACACATTGAAACACATGAGGGAAAGAAGTGGTGCTTGCATCTTGGTGCGTCTTGGAAGTCCTCTTGGAGCGTTCTTGGGGCTTCTGTAAGGCCTCTTGGGCCGTCTTCGGGCCATCCTGGGCGTCTTGGAGCTCTCTTGGGCCGTTTTGGAGGCCTCTCCCCGGGCGCTTCATGGGCTCTTCTCGGCCGTTTTGGGGCCCTCGGGTGAACAAAGCTTGAGCAGCGAGTGCGCGTGCTCTGAGCCGAGTTAGCAGAGATGCGCTCTTCTACAGAGAGGAGGAGCAGTGAACGCGCACCCGCTATGAGGCCAATTCGCAAGGCGCCGCTCTGCTAACCAGAGCCCGAGCAGGATGGGGAACCCTGCTTCCAGGCCAAGCAGCAGAGCAGAAACCTGCTAATGAAGGGAGGAGCAGAGGCGCAGCGAGTGCGTGTGCGTTGAAGCAAATTCGCAGCACAGCGCCGCTCTGCTAATTGGAGCCCAAACATTCCGAGAATGTGGGGCCCCATCCCTTGTAATTTTCGAGCACATGATTTAGGACAGAGAACGCCCCTCGCGCCTCGCGGCACGGTGGCGGATATGTAACTGGTGCTGTTGCCGCAGCGCCGCCCAAGGATTATCTGAACATTCAGCTCGCGTCCATGCGTGGCCTGTGTCTTGTTGTCTCCTCGCCAGGAGACCAGAAGAGGGGACGCGCGCGAGCGCCTTCCGTCGCTAGTTGGGAGCGAGAGCCAGTCTCAATCTCAAGTTGCACCTCTGTTGGTTGCTATGGTGTAGGAGGGATGGTGGGAGCGGTCGGGGCCAGCTGACTCGCTCGCCCTTGCTAGTTTGAGATTCGTTCTTGCTTCGTGCTTCGACTTTCACTCTTGTTGCGCTGGCCACTCCTGCGGCCCCCACCTGTTTACGCGACTCCTGTTGCCCTCGCTATCCTCACTACTCCCAGTAGTCCCGCCCTACCCCGGCTTTCCCGCTACGGTGGGGGCGTTGGTTAAGGAATGCGCCCAGGGTGCGGCAGACTTTTGGGGATTCCTTATCTGAAGAGGGCGGCGGTGGTACGCATGACCAATCCACGATTGACGTTTCGCCCGCTTCCAGACCCTGGATTCCTTATCCAATGGTTCCTTATCCAATGCCCTCACTGTACATATGCTAGTTCTTCTGCTCTTGCTGCTCCTGCTGCACCGCTGCCCCTGAGCTGTTTCTGTCACTCCTGCCACGCCTGCTGCTCCTGTTGCTCCTTCTGGCTTGGTTCCCCCTATTCGTCCAACTAGTCTTCTTGGTGCTGCTCGTTCGTCCTCCTCGTCCTCTAGTCCTAGTCTTAGTCCCACTCATACGTAGTCATAGTCATGTCGTCCTCGTCCTGTCGTTCACCAGCTTGTCTGCCTCCTGCGCTCCTCCTGCAACAGCTGCTTGCGCGCATCCCCATTCTCCGACGTCTCGCGACGGAGAAGGGACGCCTCGGCGCGGAGACGCGCAGGGCGACAGCGAGATAGACACGATCTTCCAGATCTTCCGGAAGCTGGGCACGCCGACCGAGGCGCCATGCGGCATCTCCCCCCCCCCACCCTCTGCCACCCAACAGCCCTGGCCCCCATTTCCCGTCGCCACCCTGCCTTCCCAGTGCCTCCGGCCCCCTCCGTCTACCTCTCTTTCCCCTCGGGCCACGCCGCCCCAGCTCCTGCCCCATCGCCGCCCTCTCTCCTCGCATCCTGGGCAGCGGCCGCAGCTGCGCCGACTCTCGCTCCTCTCCTGCTCGGCGTACTTCCGGCGTGGAGAGCTCCACTCGTTGGCGGGGGGAGGGGTGGGGGGGGGAGGCAGGGTGGCCAGGGGAGGGGAAGGACGAGGGAGGAGGAAGGGGGGTGGGGGGGGTGATGAGGGAGGGGAGGGGACGAGGGAGGGGAGGGGAGGGGAATGGGGGAGCGAGACGATGGCTGGGCAGTGGAAGGGGAAGGGGGGGAGGCAGGGGAGGCTCGAGCGGCAGGCGAGGCGGACGGGGGAGGAAGCGAGGGGGAGGCCTCCGGCCTCCACCCCCCCTCCCCTCTCTCCCGTCCTGATGCCTCCTCCTCTTCCTCGTCGTCGTCGTCGGAGGAGAAGGAGGAGGAGGAGGAGGGGAAGGAGGAGGATCACTCCGCTGCCCCCTCTCTCCCCTCTCTCCCCTCTCTCCTCTCTCTCCCCTCTCTCCCCTCCTGCTGCCTCCTCTCCTTCCTCTCCTTCCTCTCTTCCTCTCTTCCTCACCTCCTGCTGCCACCTCCGCTCTTGCAGTCTGCAGCACGGGCGCGAGAACACGACGCGGCACCAGACGGGCGTTGAAGCATCCTGCCTCCAATTCGGGGGTCATTTCGGGCGCAGCTCGGGCACCATGCCTTACTTGAGCTCGTGCGCTCACGAGAGGAGGCAGCTGCTGCACGCAACGGCCTGCAGCAGGCTCGTCCCTGAACCCGTGGCTGGTCCGATGGGCGGGGAACCGCCTCCCGCTGAGGCGACGGTTGCTCGCTCCTTGAAGGCCAGCAGCTCCTGCAGGCAGGTCCGCGAGCTTCTCCCACTGGGCTTACGCATCCGTAGCCCACGCGGGGATCTCGCTGACGCCCGCCCCCGTGAAGCGGACTCCTCAGCGCCGGATCCTGACCCTGACCTGCTCCGCTCGGGGGGTCCCTCCGTTTCCTCCTCCTTCGGCTTCGTTCGCGCCTCCTCCTCCGCCGCCCTCTCCCTCCTCCTCTTCCTCCTCCTCCTCATCCTCCTCCTCCTCGACCTCATGCTCCGCCTCCTCCTCTGTGCTTGCTGGGGGCGCTCCGGCAGGCTGGGCCTCAGAAGGTCTTGGAATGCACGGCTTCAGACACCATCGGGGTCAGTGCTTGGACGTTGTCGTCGTCGTCGTCGTTGTCGTCGTGTGGTCGTGGTCGTCGTCGCCGCTGCCGCCGCTGTCGTCGTCGTCGCCGCCGCCGCAGTCGCCGTCTGGTGCCTGATGCCGTCTTGCGAAGCAGACTCCTGGGATACACGGCGAGAACATCAGGAACAGGCAGTGTCGGGGGCATTCCACAGCGTTCAGGCGTTTGAAGATTTCCGCAAGAGCCTGCAGCAATGGCAGCTCCCCCGCGGCTGCGGTCAGCCTTTTTGCATATTTTGATGCTCGCCTGCGCGTCAAGCGCCTTCGCTTACCAGAATTGCTGGCCACCCCATCATCGCCATCATCACCACAATCATAATCGTTATCATCACTATCGTCATCAGCATCATCATCATCATTTTTACCATCATCGTCATCATTACCATCACCATCATCCTCATCATCATCATCCGCAACATCATTATGATCGTCATCCTTATCACGACCACCTTCTTCATCATCACCAGCACCACCATCATCATCATATCATCACCACCAACACCATAGCAGTATCATTGCCATCATCGCCATCATCATAACCATCACCATCGTTATCATCTGCATGACCTCCATCATTGCCATCACCATCAGCATCGTCATCATTATCATCTGTATCAGCACCATCATGAGCATCATCATCATCATCATCATCATCATCATCATCATCATCATCATCATCATCATCATCATCATCATCATTACCAGCATCACCACCACCACTGTCATCCCCAGCAATACCACCATCTTCAATTGATGTGTGTGTGACTGTTAGAAGCATGTATTTATCATGCGATTTAGTATTCTTATTAGTGCTAGCATTCGCATTCGTATCATTACTATCAATGTTGTAGTCTAACCCGTACTATCCTTATTATTCGAACCCGTTGACGTATGAGGACTCGTAGCTTCTATTGTTCGATGTATGCGTGCCAACGTCATCCGTATTATAATCAGTGGTATTATTTTTACTCGCACCAGCCTTACTTTTACGTTTTCATTTTTTCTACCATCATGAACGCTAGGTTGTAACGATCAGCCTCACCATCATCATCAGTAGCCGTGTTTGCTCATGTCAGGATCCTTGCCCCACAACCGCTGGTTCAATCGGCTGGCGGTGCGCGATGATATGGATTGTGACGGGAAGTGCCCCTTCCGAAGTGGAGCACACTGGCAGCTCGGCGGCCTGACGTGCGCGACGGGTCGGTTCCGCTGCAGCTGCGGATGGCGCAGTGTGGCGGGCGCGTGATCTGTCCCCGCACCTTGCCGAGCGGCTGCGCATCCCAGAAGAGGCTTTTGGTGCCATCGCCGGTAGCGACGGCGACCTGGCCGACAGGGTCCTCGCCGTGCTGCATGTCCTGAAGCAGCTCACGTCGGGGCAGCAACCCGAGTGGCTAAAACGCCTTCGGCGCAACGTGGCGCTGCACGCCGAGGCGCGCAGCCTGGCGGGCCGCATCAGTCGGGAATCGGCGACGGAGCTGCGCGCCGCCGTACGTGGGCCACGGTTCGGTTGCGCCGAGGCCCCGCTCCCGTCCATGCCGCAGGGGGCATTGCTCGCGAGCGACATGGAGGCCGCCCTGCCCGCGCTTGCCGCTGCTGCCGTGCTGGCCCCGGCGGCCGCCCCATGCCGAGGCTCCAGGGGTCCGTTGCTTGCGCGGGGCTGTGATGCGCAGTTCTTGCTCGGGGGCGCTTCGCCGCTCCCGCGCAGCACGGGGACACCGCGGATTGCGTGCCTCGCCGGGCGGCCGCTCGCGGGCGAGCCTGCGGCTGCGGCGTTGGTTGTTGAGTCGGCGATGCGCCGCGAGGCCCAGCCCTTTGTCCCATTTGCCGAGGTCCACGTGCAGACCGAGGGCATGGTGCCACGGTGCTGGGATGCCCCTGCAGCTGCTGATCGCGCTGGCGCGGGCCGATGCGCCCCAATGCCCCCAGGGGGGATGCCTGCCCTCGCTTGGGGCGAGGCGGCGGTCGAGGCGGAGGTGAGCGTCTACGTCGACGAGAGACTTGTGGGGCTGCATCGGTGTTCGTTCTCGGCGGCGTCTTCCGCTCCCTTCGTGCGCCGCCGTGTGCGCCTCAACTACATTCTGGAAAGCGCCGCGGAGCTGGAGCAGTGGAAGGCGTCGGCAGTGTCGTCCACATACCGTCGATTCGTTCGGCGGCTGGAATGGCAACCCAAATGCCAGCAGCAGTATATCCTATCTCAAGTAGCGTGCGCGTTGCGTCTGTCTTTGGCAAGGGGCCTCTTTGGATACATATGCGGTTGGTAACGCGCCATTTGAACGGAGTGGAACCGCGGGTGGAGACTTAGTCTGCTCATTGATGGATGCCCCTGGCACGCACTCTCTTTGCAAGGCCTGTTGGGGATGCTGAATGCAGTTTCTGGCGCCCGATGTGTCTCGGGACCCATTGGTCCGCCGAGCGCGGCGCCTATCCTGCTTCTGGCGCCAGGCGGGTACGAAGATCGCGAATGCTTGCGACGAGCTTGCTGCCGCCGCGCTCGAGCGTGTCGCCTCCTTCGCTCGGCGGCAATTGGCCGCCGCTGGTGTGGCAGCGGCGTCATTCTGGAGCCTGCAGGTCCTCGCAGGTGCATTGCGGGCACGGCCTGACGCAGCGGGCGAGGCGCCGAAGGAAGCGTTTGTGTTTGGGCGGCTTTGTAGCTTGGGCTCCCGACCGTGTGTGATGCAGCGGGTCATCATCATTATCATCATCAACAACACCGTAATCACCGTTTCAGTCATAACTACCATCATCACCGTCGTCTTCACCATCTCCATCGTCAGCACCAGCGTTACTACATACCTAGGCCGAACGGTTTTCCTTTTCGAGTTACAAATCTGACGACACCAATGGATCCAATCGGATCCATTGCTGGGTGTGTAACAGTTTCGTGGGTCATATTTCTGCAGTGCGCGGATCCTTTTTTTCCCGTGCGTGAAAAAACAATCGGTCCATATATTGTTTGGAATAAGCTTATAATATCAATTAATTCAACTGGACATTGGATCCACGGGGGACTGCACGTGGGGCTTCATGCTAACCACGGCGCCGTGGGTCTGCAGACCAATGCTATGAGTCTACGGGGGAAGGGTTCTCCTAGGGTGAAGCCGCCTTCCGCCCGGCCGCCAGGCCGACTGGCCCGGCCTGCCAGAGCTGCCGGACTTCAAGCCCACGTTCCCGCAGTGGAGGAAGAGGCCGTGGGAGGACACCGCCGCGCCGCGCCGCGGCTTCTGGAACCCAGGAGCATGCTCCCCGCCCAGACGTCAACATAGAACGGAACGCCGATTTGCATGGCTAAATCCATCACTAATTACAAACAGCAGTTCCGACAAATCGACAAATTCAAATCTTAGGTTTCTCGCTTAGGGAAGCTTTCGCTGGCCGTCAGGGAACGGGGTGAATAACCGGGAGGGGAAAGGGTCGGGACTTCTGACCGCGTGCGGACAAGATCAACACATTGGACTTGTCCCCCCCGGTGCCGCTGCCCCTTCGGCTACGGTCTCCCTTCGACCTCTTCGCCCGAGGTTAGGCTGACGCGGGCGAGCCGCCAGCTCTGGTGTCTCGGCACCGTCGTCTGGCCAGTCCACTCCAGTTCACTCCTTGTTCCCAGCCCGCTCCCTCCTTCGCTTCCGCTCCCCAGACCCATCCCCGGTCCATCCCCTGTTCCATCGCCCTGCTCCTTGTGTTCCTCTTTCCCCGGGTCCCCTCCTCTCTTATCCCCTTCGATTTCGGCGAATCGTGACCCGTGCTCCTGATGAGACCGCCGCCGCCGCCTCCTCCTTCTCCTCGCCTCCCCAGCGGCCTCGGTCTCGTCGGCATCCTTCCCCTGCTCTGGAAACTGCCGGGGAATGGGATTCCTTCGTTCTCGAACTTCAACCGGACAGCCGGAGCTGTAAACTGGTTTGCCAGGATGTTGTTTTACAGTGGAAGCCCATACCAACAACACCCTGCTTGCCTTCAGGGCGCCATGGGTTTCTTGGGTTTCGATGGTTCTGGCATGGAAAGAGTGATGTTCCCACATCAAAAATGAATGGACGACCCAGGGTCTCAGGGTTGGGTTTCTTGTGGAGGGTTTCTTGTGGTCGAGCTCCTACTGTCAGGAGGGGGAAAACGCACAGACACAATGGATCGTCGCCTCCCAGGAACATATGGGAATGTATGGGAAGTGGTGGGGGGATACGAAAATTTAGATATGGGTGAATCCTGGGATTTGTGTCTATTTATTTGTGTGTGTGTGTGTGTGTGTGTGTGTCCCTGGGCCCCTTTTTGCCCCCCACGGCGTGAGCCTCGCCAGAGTCGGGCCGCAGCTGCGCAGGTTCCCGCCCGCACGGGGGAGGGAGGGAGGGAGGGAATGAGGAGGGAATGAGGAGCGCAGAGTGAGGGAAGGGGGAGGAGGAGGAGGAGGAGGAGGAGGAGGAGGAGGAGGAGGAGGAGGAGGAGGAGGAGGTGGAGGCGGAGGAGGAGGAGAGGAGTATGAGGAGGGGGGAGGAGGAGGAGGAGGAGGAGAAGGGGGAGGAGGAGGGAAGTAGGAGGAGGAGGAGGAGGAGGAGGAGGAGGGAGGAGGAGGAGGAGGAGGAGCAGGAGGAGGAGGAGTAGGAGGGTGTCGCTCTCAAGGTCGCGCCTGAGTTACCCTGTGTTGGGGTTGCGCTGCACTTGGCACAGGGTCCCGCCCGCGCTGTCCCGCCCAACGGGGTCTGGATGCCAGCTTTCCATCTTCCGAGCTCAGTGTTCGTTGACTCGCTCGTTGACGTCAAAAATGTGCCTTCAGAGATGAGTGCGAAGCAGCGCCACCCCAGGAGGCATCAAAGCAGCCACTTCTTCGTGCTTCTCCATAGTTCTAGGTTTTCGGGCAGTCAGGAACCTCGGCGCGTAATGCCTGAATGTTGTACGCGTTGTTCTAATATGGTCTCTTTGTACGCTCACTGCTGTTATCCTTCCTCTGGCTTCATGGTCATCCTGAAGGCGTAGATGTCATTGATATTCCATCGGGTCTGGACGTGTCAAACACGGATTCGTGTTCAATAGTTGTTGTATGTGGTATTTCGTATGCTTTCTTTTCTGAGTGGATCCTTGTTCCACCGTCTTCTATGGTATTGGCATCATGTTTGTAGCGTCAACTGAGATTCGCGTCCTTGCAGCAACAGTCTGCGTATGTTGAGGTGTTCGAACGCGCAGCTCTGGTGCCAACCCACATTTCTATGCCCAATTGTATTGTCCCGCCAGGCTGCAGTCAGTCACGTGGCGCCGTGCCTACGTATTCGATGTCTGCGCTTGTTGTGCCCGCAGTTGCTTTGACAATCCGCTGCGACACGTGATTCTGACCCTCATTCTCCCCCCTGTTCTCCTCTCCTCCCCCTCTGTCTTTCTCCTCTGGATCGCACGCGATGGTTTTGTGGTATACTCCTGGATTGCAAGCGGCCCGGCATCTCGTCGTCGTTGCTTCCGTGGTGACGCCGATCGTGGTATACTCTGTGCGCACCCCGCGAGCGTCGCTGTCCCTGTGCCACTCCGCCCTGCGCCAAGCAAGGCGCGGTGGCCTGCGCAGAGTTCGGAGCGATTCTGTGAGGAGGAGGAGGAGGAGTAGGAGAAGGAGGAGAGTGAGGAGGAGGAGGAGGAGGAGGACGAGGAGGAGGAGGAGGCGGAGGAGGAGGAGGGAGGAGGAGGAGGAGGAGAGGAGAGGAGGAGGAGGAGGAGGAGGAGGAGAGAAGAGGAGGAGGAGGAGGAGGAGGACGAGGATGAGGACGAGGAGGAGGAGAAGGTGGCCTGCGCAGTGTTCGGAGCGATTCTGTGCCCTGGCTGGGGCGTCGGACCGGTGGCAGCCTCAGCCTCCAGCCTCTTTCTCCTGTTCATTTTGGCCCCATCGACCATTGATTGTGTATATGTGAGGGTTGCCGATGCAGGAAAAGGGGGGTTGCAGAGGCTGGGGACAGGGGAGGGGGTGAGGTGGTGGTGGGGAATGGTACGCGAGGAGAAGCGGGGAGCCAACTTCGGGATGAGTGTGTGGGGGGGAGGGGGATGGCCCTGGCGAGGAAATACGCAACACCGTTGCGCAGCTGGGCTCCTCCGGCGTCGACCTGCTGGAGATGCGCCCGGCGTTCTCCGCGTCCTTCCCTCTCGAGGGATCATGACCTGCTCTCGCCTCTGTCCTTCCATCTTGCGCTCCTCTCCCTCAAGAGTGTGGAGGAAGAAAGGGGAGGGGAGGGAGGGAGGGAGAGAGAGGGAGAGAGACAGAGATAAAGAGAGAGAGAGAGAAAGAGAGATATAGAGAGAGGGGCAGTTAGAGAGAGGGAGAGAGAGGGAGAGAGAGAGGGAGAGAGAAAGGGTGGAGAAGAGGGAAACCCAGGAAATGGAGACAGAGGTTGTAGGGGAGAGGGAAGGACATGGGGATGTGGAGAGGAAGGGGGATTGGATTGAAGGGAGAAGAGGGGATGGAGGAGGGATGGAGGGAAGAGGATGGGGAAGATGGGAGCGAGGCGGAGGGAGTGGGCGGGAAGGAGGCGAGAGGAGGATCACGGATAGAGGTGTAGGGACGGGGGTTGTGGAGGAGCCTGGCGGGGGGGTTGGTAGGGAGGGAGCGGCGGGGGAGGGAGGGGGAGGGATCGGGCAGGGAAGGGGATGCAAGGGAATGTAGAGAGAGGGGGTTAGGGAGGGAGCGGCTTGGAAAGAGGGAGGGAGGAAGGAGGAGAGGATGGAGTAAACAACAGGGCGCCTCGATCTCCTTAGTGCTCTCCTCGGAATCGATGGTCTCGTCGATGCTGGAGGATTGCAACAGAATCGGAGTGCAGACTCTGTGAGCTGCTTGTGAGCCGCTTCGTTCACTCAACCCAAATCCCGGTGATACGGTTTGCATCCTACATAAAAGATGAATAAGCGACACCCTAACTTATGTGGTAGACGCTCACGTCCATGAAGTAACTTCCATACACCAGAGAATCAACGAAGTCAACGAAAGAACTTCCCGAAGAGGAAGTGGAAGTAGCTGGCCTTGAACTGCAATGCAAGATCAATAACAGGTGTGTCAAGCGACTGCATCCACACACAACTCACTGCAAGAAATGATATCTCAAGCCGCGAGTCGAGATCAAGATCTGATGCCATAAGACAGCATTCACGCACAACTCACAGCGATAACATGTTGCTCAAGCCGCGAGCCTAGATCAAGATCAGGTGTCAAATGACAGCATTCGCACAACTCACGGCAAGAGAATCTAGCTCAAGCCGCAAGCCCATTCAAACGTTACACAACATCACGTCATACTAAGCTTCTTCCAGCATGTGGCTGTCCAGCATGTGGCGACTGAGCCTGTGGCCGAGGCGGTACAGGTAGGTGGCGGTGACAAGGAAGAACCAGTAGCCGCAGTACCTGGGGCCGAAGCTGTACAGGTAGGCGTAGGCAGTGACATCTGATTTGGGACACTTGACCTGCAATGCGAAATCCCGGAATCAGCGTGGGCCTGCGTCACAGAGGTACCTGTGGCCGAAGCGGTACAGGTCGGTGTCGGGGGTGACAAGGATGAACCAGTAGCCGCATTCAAACGTTACACAACTTCACGTCCATGGCCACTCCACTTGTCAGAGAGCGGCGTGGCATCCGTGAGAGTCTCTTCGAGTCCGCCCCTGAGGATCGAGAGGGCCACCGAGCAGACTGCGGTCATCATCCTGGCGCGCTCCTGGCAAGAGTCGGAGATCTCGTAGGTGACCCAGCCCGACTTCGCCGTGACCTTGGGAATCGAGGTCCAGAAAGCCGAGGGCAGGGAGTACTTGTGGGAGGCTTCGTCGCGAGCCTGTTGGTACCTGGGGCACTCCGTGGTGAGGTGGCACGGTTTTCATCCTTCTCTCTTGTCGTTGCTACTACTGCTGGTGGGTGGCTCGTCCAGCCTGGTCACTCCCCTGGCCCTTACGATGCCCTACGCGGCCTACGCGACGCTCTCACGCAGCACACTCGGAGAGCGCTGCATACGGAGCATCCGCTGGTAGTGCGCGTCTCGGAGCCTGTTGCCGCAGTACGCCGACGCACCAACAGCGGTCGCTGACCTCTGGGTGGAGGCAGGGCTCAGGCCACTGCGCTGCGCGAGTGCCCCAGGGGGGGACATCTTTGCCCGCAGTGATGTGTAGAGCCTCTCCTTTTCGATCATCTCGCGGAGACGGTGACCAGGGCCACCAAATCATGGGGGAGGAGTGGAGGCAGTGCGCAGCCCTGGCCCATGACCCGCTCGTTGCGCCCGGGGGGCCTGGTCACGACGCCGTTCCCTCGCGGCCGGGAGCCCGGCGCTCGCCGCAGGCCCCCGCCCGCCCTCTCGAGGGCGGCGCAAGCACGCGGCCCTGCCTGTCGGTGAGGCGCTGTTGGTCACCGATGACGGGGGGAGGGTGGAAGTCATGGCGTGGGCCATGATATTTCCTCAGATTTCACGGCGTCTCCTCTTATTTCATTGCGTCCCTGGCCCCCCCCCCTGGGCCGTGCACATGCCGCCGGCCATGATTTGCGCCCCCCCCTCTTGGACGCCGCCCTCTTGGCCGCCCCCGAAGGGTTGGAGGTCAGTACGGCCTGCTGAGGAAGCTTCAGCTTACGTGGGCGGGCCAGGACGTCGCCGCCCCGTGCCGGGAGGCGGCAGGGGCCGACGACGGAGTGTTCCAGCCGCCCAGGGTCTATACAGTTCGCAGCGGTGCCCGTGCTACTCTGGACGCGGGCAGAAAAACTGGTGCCGCCGCAGTGAATGTTTGGATCGCTCTTCACCGTCATGGAGAGGGTAGCGATCTGCTTGGCTCGGACGCTCAAGTTGTTCCACAGTGTGCCGTCGGCGCCGAGCTGAAATATGCAACGGCGCCCATCCAGCCCATGAGGGCAGACAGAACTGCAGAGCCTGGGCGGTTCTACTGCTGACGCCTGCGACACACTCTTCGCATACCTCCTGCGCTCATCTCACGCGTCAGCAGTGACGAAGTTCTGAAAGTAGCACAGTGCCAACAGCCATTGGCGATCACTCGCGGCTCCCAGTTTAATTTCCTTGGCAGAGTAATCCTACACCTGTCCAGAGCAGAGCTGAGAAGGGTTGATTCTCGTGGTGCCGGCACGACCTCAGACACTGTGGCTTGGGTGCGACGTCGCGGGGGGCCTCGACGGAATTGTGTGGAACAGAGGCGTATACCATGTGACAAGACGCTGGGGGCAGTCGCGGACAAGGTCGCCGCCTCACCGACTGAGTAGGAGCAGCACGTGCGGAACCACGTGCCCAACGTAAAGCCAATGCGTTGCGCAATGCACGGCAGACTTTCCACGATTAGGGAGAACGTGTGTTTGCTTGAAACTTCCTGATTGCTCAGGTTTTGCCTGGGACGCGATCTCACATCGTAATTCTGGTAGGCTGCGAGGTCTGAGGTAGCTACAGCCCCATCTGTCCCTGGCCACTCGTCGCGTCTGCGCGAGAGGTCGGACGGCAGGTCGTGGAGCATGGTTGCAGCCTTGCGCAGCCCCTGGCGCGCAGATGCATGCAGGGCCCCATGGTGCCAGGTGTGCCAGGTGTGTCTGAGCTGTGGCATGCCAGCTCATGCGAGTCAGCTAAGTGCGCAGGAGCTGGCCTATCTCCGCGACCTGGCCAGGCAGCCAGGCGGCGCGTAAGGCGTAAGTCGTAGTTTGATACCGTGTGCAGATTGTTCTTCCTGGACCAGTGCAGTCCGATCTGGTCGGGTCCAGCCGAGTCGAGTCCAGTCCTCCTCCCTCCTTCGCCACTGCTGTTTCTGCTGCAACTTCTGCCTCTGCTGATGATTCCTCGCGAAGCAAGCTCTCGCATAAACACAAACGTTCGGAGGTCCGCGCGTATTTGTCGGATCGGCGCTGGAACTCCCTGGCAGCGCCTCCAGCGCCGCCCCTGGCGCGCTCCTCGCGCCAGGGCTGCTCCAAGAAATCAGCGCGAGCCTCCGACAGCGTATATTTATAGCATTATTCAATTGAACGCCCCTGAGGGGGCAGACACCGCCGCCCAACGTTTTTGTACAGTTGTTGACTGTGAAAGGTTTGGTGGAGGAAGAGGATGGCAATTGAAATGATTCCAGAGGGTCCAAAGCGGCCCCAGATGGCCCCCCCAAACGCCCAGAATTGCCCAAGAGTGCCCCAAGAGGGCACTAAGAGGCTCCGAAAACGGCTCCAAATGCTACCCAAAGGTGTCGAAAACTGTAGACGAAACCGGATTGGGATACGGAGAGGGAAAAAGGGAGCTGCACAAGTTAGTTTTGGGGCCTCGTGCTTCAATTGAGGGTCGAATGGCGGCCAGCGGACGCCCGTTGCGCAGCCGGAGCCCCAGGCCGGTGGAATGAGCAGGCTGCGCGGGGGAGGACCCCGGGGGGGGGGTTGCGAGGGCTCTTTGGACAGGTGTGGGCACGAGGACTGGCGTGGGTACGACGGCGGAGGGGAAGCAGTCCTTGCAGATCATGCGGCGGGGATCTCACACGCCGTACCCCGTGGGGCGGCGGATCGCTTCGCTCATTCCGCTGGCCCATACTCTATACAGTGTTTAGTGGCCCCTTCGGCTGGACTGGGCCGTGGACAAGAGGCCTTGTTGAGAGGCTCGTTGGGGTCTCTCTCGGGAGGCCTCTCGGGTCCTCGTGGTGGCATTCTGGGGCCTCTTGGGGGCCTCTTGGGGCTTCTTGGAGGCTTGCTGGCGGTCTTGGGGGCTACCTTCGGGGGGAAGGGCTCCGCATGGCAGTTCGGATTCTCTCTTGGGGTCTTCCTGGGGGCCTCTGGATGATCCCTGGGAGGCCTGGCCGTCTTGGAGCCCTCTTGGGCCATCTGGGGGGCCCTCCTGGGAGCCTCTTAGGCTGTTTTGGGGTGATCTTGGGTGCATCCTGGGCCGTCTCGATGGTGGGAAGCACGAGAAAGGTAATAACGCGAACATCCTAAAGGGGAATCAGCATGTTTTTGTCACTCGGGGCCTTCTTGGAGGTTCTCTTGGGGCTCTTTGGACCCAGACCTCCTCGAGCTATGAAAGAAGTCACTACGGGAGATGTTTCGTTATTTTCGGCCTACAGGGGCCCTCGCTGGGCCTCGGGACTATCAAAAAACGCCTCAGGACGAAAAACTGGTCCCTGGGAGCGGGTCCAGGCTCCTCTGGGGGTCACGTCGCGAACAAAAACGCGACTTCCGCGGTTTGGGGAGGCGGTTCGGCGGCGTCTGTTAGCCATCCAGAGATTGTTTTGGACACCGATCCCACTCTTCGGCCGCAGGGGGGTTCTCGTGGAGCTCCTTCGGGGCGCTCCTGGTGCGCTCCTGGGGGGCCCCGAGGGCGGTGCCCATGAGCAAAGTAATCTCAGAGGGGGCCCTGCGGGAGATCTCTCGGAGAGCTGGGAGGGTGCTTTTCGCCCGGGGACCCCCCCCCCCAGGGGCGGCCCCGCGCGCGCGCGAACTAGAAAGAGTCTCGAGGGGCCACCAGGGATCTTAGCACGACTCCGGCCCTGTGGGCCAGCGAATCTGTTCCTCAGGGGCAACGATAGCGGGGGATAGGCATAGGGGGGGGATACATCGACCCCCACTCGCACGTTCATCGCCAATAGCCAATAGGGGACCCAATAGCCCGCCCCCGCCCAGGAAGGTGCGGATTCACTGTCGGGGGCCATCGCCAATCTATCGGCGACGTATAGCCGATTCCAGGTCGATGTCTCCCCCCCTATTCTAAGCCTCCCAGATGGGGTTGGAGTAGATTGGGTCGAAGGATCGCGCCGCATCGCCGATGCATCGGAGATGCAACTCGATGTGGAGCCTGTACTTCTCCGCGCTGGCGTCGCCGACGCACCGCCGACGTCGCCGATGCATCGGTGACGCATCGACGATGCCTCGGCGATGCGTCGACGATGCAGCGCGATCCTCCGAACCCATCTGCTCATGCCCCATCTGGGAGGCCTCTACCTATGCCGGTCCCCCCCCCCCCCCTTCGTTCCCCCCCGCCCAGTTCCTCGAGCCCCGTGCCTCTTCCAGCCCCGCAAGGGCCTGCCTCCAGCCCTCCCCCCGCTGCTGCCCGAGTGTCCCCCCTTCTGACGCCCGCCACCTGCCCCTCCCCCTCCGCGGCCCCTGCCTCCCGCGGCCCTGCCTCGCGCCTGCCCTCTGCTGCCGCCCCCCCCCCCCCTCCCCAGCCGCCGTCGCTGCGGTCCGTGCTGCTGCCGTGCGTTGCGCCCCGCAGGAGCGCCTGCTCACCTACGACCCACGGCGTCGGGACTCCGTCCGGCAGGCTCTGCTGTGCTCTCCCGCTGTGGATCGCCCATACCTGGGGGGGGGGGAGCGGGACCTGAGGCTCGAAGCGGGTCCTGGGGTTCTTCCCCGCTCTGTTGGGCTCTCGGGGTCCAACGCGGGCCCTTGGTCTATCGGAAAGCGGATTCGAATGAACAAGTGGTCCTGGGAGAGGGCCCTGGGGCCCAGGACCCGTTTCCCTCAGGACCCGCTTCCCCCATCATGCTAACGTGGCTGCCGCCGCTGGGGCTGCTCTGGTCGGCCCTGCTGCCGAGCGGCCCCTGCGCAGCTGCCGCTGCGCTGCTGCCCCCAGCCGCAGCCGCCTCTGCTGCCATCGCCTGCGCGCGTCGTCGCAGCCAGTGCCGCGTGCGTACGTGCAGCTGCGTTTTGGCTCGCCGTGGGCATGGCGGCAGCACCTTGCTGCTGTCCCCTCCAGCTGATGTCTTCCCTTCTCCTGGCCTCGGACCGATGGTGTCGAGCGGCTTCCGTCCTTCGCTAGACTATCGCACCCATCTTTCTGCGAGCGTGAGACGTACCCAGCCTGAAAAGACGTGCGCACGCACGTCTTCGATCGAGCTTGCCCATTGAGACGGGTCATTCCCGCGTCCGCTGCCAGCGAGCGAGTGTTGAGGATATTGCTAAGGCCTTACGGCCTGTGCCGCCGACCCTGGAGGCCTCGGCCCTCGACGGAAATGGGAGGGAGAAGGCGCTCCCGACACGCCCGTGGGGAGGGTGGTATTCTGACCCGGGACCCCCCCCGGGACATTCCCCCGGGACCCCCCCCTTGGGGATTTGCCCCTGGGACCCCCCTCCACCTTCGCGGGGAAGGGATCAAAGGGAAGGGGCTTGCCTCACCTCGACTCAGTGACAACTTTGCTGAATTTCGCTGTGGATGGGCTGGTGTATTTCGCTTGGACTGGCGTGCTTGAGGACGAGGGCCCAAGGAAAGGAAGGAAGCGGCGACGGACTCAGGGGAAGGAGGGGACGTGATGGCGGCGGCGACGCGACGGCGGCAGCGACGGCGACGGCGACGGAACAGCCCCTGTCGCATGCCGACAGGGTCGGCGGATTTGGGGCGCCTCTATGCACTTGGATCGAGGCTAACACTACTTCCTGTGCCCTTCGTGTGTTCGCCTCGGTGTGCACTTGCTCATGCAGGGGGTCCCATTTCGGAGCTGACTCTGCAATTTACGCAATGCGGGTCCTGGGGGAGCTCTTGGGAGACCCCATCAATGACTCTCGTTCTCTTGGAAGCAGCTTCGCTGCGTTGGCTCCTGAACCCTCATGTGGTCGTTTTTTTACCTAACAGCGAAGACTGATAGTTTTCTAGTGGGGTCAAAAAAGAGCATCCTGATTCCCCAGGGGGGTCTGGGCAGGATCCGGGGGATGCCGGGGAAACTTGGGGATCCGCGCCTGATATGGGAGAACTCAGTCGGTGGTGCCGTGGGTGCCCGCCTGATATGGGGGAACTCAGTCGGGGGTGCCGCGGGTCCACGCCTGATATGGGGAAACTCAGCTGACGGGTGCCGCGGGTGCTTGCCTGATATGGGGGAACTCAGTCGAGGGGGGCGCGGGTGCACGCCTGATATGGGGGAAGTCAGTCGGGGGTGCCGCGGGTCTACGCCTGATATGGGGGAACTCAAGTGAGGCTGAGGCTGAGGCTGCGGCTGAGGCTGAGGCAGGCTGAGGCAGACGCTGAGGCAGGCTGATGCATCCGAAAGCCCATGAGCAGTGAGGAGGAGAGATGCCTCCTGTCGAGCGACCGCGACTGTACCTGCGACTGCCGTTGTCATTGCGATTGCCATTGGGACTGCGACTGCGACTGCGAAGGCATCAGAATTCTATAACAGGACTCCTACATGAATTTCAAGAGGAGTGCTCCCAGATATGCTTCTACACATCGCTGTTAGATTGCTTTGCCGGGATAATGTATTCCTTGTTTTGCCGATCGGCGCGGGCCCTCGCACCCCCTCCTCCCCCCCTCCACCTGGAGTAGATCTTGGCTGTTTTGGGCGCCTGTTTCGAGCAGGTGGAGTCCCCCCACAGGACGCACTGTGTGCAAACAGTCGCACTAAGCAGAGGCCCAGAGCCAGACCCCCCCTCTCCCCCCGTCCTTTCCGCTCAATGTCGAAACGCCGAATCAAAACAAAAACGCTCACCACCCTCATTTAGCCATGGCGTCTGGGAGGAGGAGGAGGAGGAGGAGGAGGAGGAG